AGATCAGAAAAGAGGGCGGCGCCTGTGGCTCAGTGAGTAGGGCGCTGGCCCCATATACCAAGGGTGGTGACAGGTTTAAACCCGGCCCTGGACAAACTGCAAAAAAAATAGCCGGGTACCTATAGTCCCAGCTACTTGGGAGGCCGAGGCAAGAGAATCACCTAAGCCCAAGAGCTGGAGGTTGCTGTGAGCTGTGACACCATAGTACTATACTGAGGGCAACAAAGTGAGACTCTATCTCTTAAAAAAAAAAAAAATCAAGAAAAAACTAAATGAAATAGAGATCAAAAAAATCTACAAAGGATCAATGAAACAAAAACTTGGTTTTTCAAAAAGATAATATTAATAAGCCACTAGCTAGACTAACTATGAAAAGAAGAGAGGAGGTCCAAATAAATCAGAAATGAAAAAGAAGATATTACAACTGATAACACAGAAACATAGAAGATTAGAAACTATTATGAATGACTATATACTCACAAACTAGAAATCTTAGAGGAAATGAATGAATGAATTTCCAAAAACATATATACAATCTCCTGAGATTGAACCAGGAACAAATAGAATTCCTGAATTCTATAACAAAGTAGCGAGATTGAACCAGCAGTTCAAAAACTCCCTTCCCCCACAAAAGCTCAAGAGCAGATGGCTTCACAGCTGAATTCTACCAGACATACAAGGAAGAACTGGTGTCAATCCTACTGAAAAACTGTTCAAAAAGATGGTGAGGGAGAAAATCTTTCATAACTCATTCCGTGAGGCCAAATTTAGCCTGATACCAAAGCCAGGAAAGGATGCAACAACAAAAAAAGAAAACAAATATAGACAGATATCTCTGATGAACACAGATGCAAAAAACATTGTTGAAATACCAGTAATCCAACCCCACAGCACATCGAAAGGATGATTCACCAGGATCAAGTGGGTTTTATCCCAGGGATGCAAGGACAGTTCAACATATATAAGTCAATAAAGGTGATTCACCATATAAGCAGTGTTTAAGAGAGTAGCAAGACCAACCATAGAGTAGGAGAAAATATTTGCAAATTCATATTTGATAGAAGACTTATATTCCAAATATATAAACAACTATAGTTCAGTATTAAGAACATGAACAATCCAATTTAAAAATGGTCAAAAGATTTGAACAAATGCTTCAACGAAGATATCTGGACGGCAAATAAGCAAACAGAAAACTTGCTCAAGATCATTGGGAAAAGGCATAAATATCTATCATAATGAGACATAACTATATACCTATTAGAATATAAAAAAGATAAAACAAAATCCAAAGAATACCAAATGGAGAAACTGGAACACTCATACACTGCTGGTGAAAGTGCAGAAAGGTACAACGCCCTGGGAAGGTGTTTTGTAGTCTCTTAGGAAGTTCAATATATGCCTATCAAATGACCCAACAGTTTTAATTTTAGGTAAATATACACAAAAACCTATTCACAACTGTTTATAGCAGTTGTTTTTTTTTTTTGAGACAGAGTCTCACTATGCCACCCTCAGTAGAGTGCTGTGGTGTCACAACCCACAGCAACCTCCAACTCTTGGGCTTAAGCAATTCTCTCACCTCAGCTTCCCAGTAGCTGGTACTATAGTTGCCTGCAACAACGCTTGGCACTATATATATATATATATTTTTTTTTTTTTAAAGACAGAGTCTTACTCCATTGTCCTCTGTAGAGTGCCATAGCATCACAGCTCACAGCAATCTCCAACTCCTGGGCTTAGGTGATTCTCTTGC